ACCTCATTTGGGTCACATTTGGGCAAACTAACTGTAAAAAGGCATTTGAAACAATCAGCAACCTCTTAAAATGGTCTGGGGTTTAGATAATACTATTAAGAAACTATTGTTGCCTGGCTGGTGTAGCTCAGTGGATTGAGTGCGGGCTGTGAACCATAGGGTTGCCAGTTTGATTCCCAGTCAGGGCACATGCCTGGGTTGCAGGCCAGGTCCCCAGTGAGGGCCACGTGAGGGCAACCACACATTGATGTTTCTCTCCCTCTCATTCTCCTCTCTCCTCTCTCTAAAAATAAATAAATAAAATCTTTAAAAACAAACAAACAAAGAAAAAGAAACTATTGTCATTTTTGCTAGGTGTGGTAATGGCACGGTGATTATGGAAGGCAATCCTTATCAGTCAGAAGTGCTCACTGAAGTACTTCCGGGTGAAATGACTTGATGACGATGACTGGCTTTCAAATACTCCAGAACAAAGAAGTATGTGGGGGGATTACAGATGGAGTAGGATTGGGGAAACATGAAGGGTGAGAGCTGGGTTTGGTCACGTGAGTTCATTTATACTGTTCTCTCTACTTCCGTGTGTTTGCAGCTCTCCCGAATAAACGGTAAAGTGAATGAACGAGGAGGCCTGCAGAGAGGGAAGCAGTAAGATGCAGTAGTTAAAGGCCCTGGGCTCAGATGCACCACTGATAGATATTCTGAATTTGTCTCTTCGTCAGTCCACAGTTTGATAGAATGTTCCAGCAACTGGTAATGCTAACTCTTCATAACTCCCTGTTTCTGGTGTGGTCTCTGCCACTCACTGGCTGGGTTTTGGCCAAGTGACTTAACCTCTCTGAGCCTCTGTAGATCAGCTGTAAAACAGGGAAAATCATTACCCCTGTGTTACTCAGTTATTTCAAGAACCAAACAAGTGGATGAACGGAAAGGGCTTAACACAGTGCCTGGCATGCAATAAGTGCTCAATAAATGCGTCAATGTGAGGAGCACAGGTTTAGGAGGATGCGAACCCCAGCTCAGCTCTGCCACTTGTGACTTTGGCCAAGCCATTAACTCTCTGAACCACGTTTCCTCCTGGGAAAAGCGAAGATCATAATACCTCCCTTGCAGGGCTGCCGTGAGGATGAAATGACAGGACATGTTTTGATGCCCAGCATGGCCCACGTGGGAATTTCCCTTCCCCACCCCTTGACTTTCAGCGGCGCTGGCCTTGCCAGCTCCCAGGCTGGAGTTGATCCCACTGTCCATTTGCTTGGCTGTTTGCACCTGGAGCGCCAAGCGTGGCTGGAGAAAGTCAACAGGATCGTGTGAATGGCTCCTCACAGATGGCACTGCGTGTTGGGAAACATCGGTGAGGCTCTTCTGCTTCCAGGCAGCTCTCAGCCCTCTCTGGGGCGCTTCCTCTCCTGTGTCTCACACTTTCTGGTCCAAACCTTTCCCACCACCCACGCATGCTACCCTTCCCCCTGCTTTGGCCTCAAAAGTTGGCTTCAACACTCTCGACTGAGGTCATCAATATGAGCACCATTCTCTCAACTTTTCAGCACCTCACCTCCATCTTTTCCTCTCTTTAAAAAAAATATTTGTTTATTTTTAGAAAGGGGAAGGGAGGGAGAGAGGGAGAGAGACATCAGTGTGTGGTTGTCTCTCACGCACCCCCTGCTGGGAACTTGGCCCGCAACCCAGGCATGTTCTCTGACTGGGAATCAAACCAGTGACGCTTTGGTTTGCAGGCTGGAGCTCAACCCACTGAGCCACACCAGCCAGAGCCATCTTTTCCTCTCTTTTATCCTCCCATCTCAACAGTCAGATTGTCTGTCTCCTTCCCAATGCTTCGGAATTTACTCCATCACCCCCTCCCCAGTGTTCCAGTACTTTCTCTCCACTGGCTGTACCCTCGCAGACAAAAACAAACAACAACAACAACAAAAAAACAAGCAAAATTCTTGGTCAAGTACCTTGATCTCCCCCAAGTCTGACAGCCACCCCGCTGCTCCCTTGTTCAATTCACACATTCACTTGTTCACTCATTTAAGAAACATTTGTTAAGTGCCTACTATGTGCCAGGCACTGGAGGTAAAGAGACAGTCTTTGCCCTTAAAGTCTTCCAAGTCCAGAGGGAGAGTCAGACTCACAGATGGGAGGGTGACGAGTGAGATGCAAAGATGGACCCGTGCTGGGTGCTGAGGTTCACTGGGTGCCACGGGAGGGAGGGGGAGCCCAAGGGTGGCGCTCAGCCTTCTGGTCTGCGCAGCGGGGGATGGTAGAGCGGCTCACTGAGACAGGAAACAAGGGAAAGGGTTGAGGAGCTCGGTGTGAGGGGCACTGGTGCGCTGTGGGTGGATCGGAGCCTGAGGTGCTATCAGAGCATCCCAGGAGAGATCCCCAGCAAAGCTTCGGGGAAGGGAGAGAGCGGGAATTTGGGATTCGAGGGTCATTAGCATACAGAAGCTGGAACCATGAGTGCATAGAGAGTGCTCTCTGCTGCAAGTGACAGAATGGTGACACCATGGTATTTGTTGAGTTGCGTCTAAACAGTTAAGAGGTGGGAAGTCCCAGGGGTGGGTGACCTGGCAGCACAGCGACCCCAGTGCTTTCTCTCGTCCCTCTTTGTCCTTCTCAGGGAGCTGATTCCTTCCTCAGACTTGTCTCGGTTGCAAGACTGAAAAAAACAGGTCATGTGAGCCAGGAAGAAGGGATGGCCCCTTTTCAACCCTCGTCCTCCTGGCCTGGCACGGCTGACCCACACAGTTCAGTAGACACATGAGGAACCCGGGATCCCGAGTCAAGCATGTCGGGGTTCATGTCCTCGAGCTACCTCTGCAAGCTGCGTGACCTCATATGAGTTAGTTTTCCTTTCTGTGCCTGAGTTTCCTCAGGTCTATAATAAGAAATAGATATTTGTTCTTTGCCCAGTTTCTGGTTCACAGCTCCTTAAACCCTTAGAATTTCTATGTGCAGAGAGTGATGGAGGTGTCTTTTGTTCCGTGAATGACTTGATGTGGAAGCACCCAAGGATGGGGACTGGTTGCCAGGAGAGTCCACCACGTGATTGGAGAGTTGGACCTTTCAGTCCCAAATGTCTCTCACTCTGGGCAGGGGAGAGGGGCTGGAGCTTAATCAATCACCAATAGTTAATGATTTAATCAGTCAGGCTTATGGCTTGCGTACTCAGGCTTCCATAAAAACCCAAGAGGGCAGGATTTGGAGAACTCGTGGGTCTATGAACATGCGGAGGTCCTGGGAAAATCGTGCCGCACACCTTCCCGTATGCTTTGCCTTATGCCTCTCTTCTGCCTGGCTGGTCCTGAACTTTATCTTTTTATAATAAACCCTTGACTAGTAAATGAAATCTTCCTCTGATCTCTGCGCGCGCCTCAGGTAAATTAATTGAACCTGTGGAGAGGGTGCCGGAGGGGAAACTCCAGTCTGTAGCCCATGGGTCAGAAGTACAGGGAAGAGCCTGGGTGTCTGAAGGAGGGCGGTCTTGTGCGGCTGAGCCCTTGACCTGGCAGATCACATCAGAACGGAGTGGCATTCTTGGGCACCCTGCGGGTACCTTAGAATTGTTTGTTGCTATAGGGGAACCCCATGCCCCCATGCTGGAACTGGGCTCAGGAACCCTTTTCAGGGATGTAACAGTTTTTGTCATTGCTGAGATGATGAAATGAAATGATATGTACAGAGTTCTTAGCATAGTGTCTGGCACATAGTAAGTGCTCGGCCAAAACTAGCCATTCACATTTGGGGGAGCCAGCCTCTCCTTGAATTTCCCCAGCCCCTTGTCTTCTAGGCCCCCTCCTCTTTCTCTGACTGCTCCCCTGCTTCTCCTCCTCCTCACTCCCCACCCTTCCCAATGCTGGCTTCTCTGCCCTCACGACTCACTGGGTCTCGTCTCAGGCTCCAACCCTCGACTCCTCTGCAGGCTGCGGAGATCGAGCCTACTCTCCTGCCGTCCGTCCTCTGTGAGACCCCGGACACTCCCGTGTGTCTCAGGCCCTCCCAGGCTCATCCTGATGCCTGATGTCGCTGCTCCCATTCTCGCCCCAGCACCTTCTACCTGGTGGCCCTCATTAACGTTCTTCGGCATGAGCTTCTGTGTTAAAAACAGCCTCTGGGACCGCTGCTCCAATGACTTCCACCCGCCAACATGGAAGCCATCCAGAAGGACGCAGAGAACAATCCGTATGGGTGCGGAGAGCAGAGAGCACGTGGATAACTTCTAAGTGTGACCAGGCAGGGCTTGGTCATCTCCGTCTGCCTCCCTGCCTAGGCTGTGGGCAGCTCAGGGCGGGGAAAAGCGTTACTCATCTGCCTGTCACCTGGCGCCTGCTGTATACAGTTAGCACTCAGGAAGATATCTCATGAATGAATGTGATTCCTGGCTTTGCCCCTTAACTTCCTTTGACTTTGAATAAGGTCCTTATTTGATCCCAGTGTCAAAATCTGTAAAACGAGGGAATTGGATTACGTGTTAGGGGAGCTCTTTCGGCATTAAAGTGGCATCAGTGGTCACGGGATGGGGGGCTGGCTAGCTGGGGTCGGGGGTCCGTGCCAAGGTCTCCAGCAATGTGCTGTGCTCAGGTCTGAGGCAGAAGGATGGGCTCAGAGACAGGGGCTGCCCTGCCCCCTCTTCTTGGGCGCTGCCCGGGACTCCAGAGGAAGGGTGGACCTGATGATGGCCAGAGAGCGGGCACTGGCTATTAACCCTGAAACTCCCCCGGGCCCATTGCCTGGGTTCCATCCCTGGCTCATCAGCCCGGTGTGGGAGGAGACTGATTGGAGGAAACTCTGGGTTCCTAGTCCTCCCCCAAGTCTGCCCACGAACAGGCCGTTCTTGTTTACGACCCCCGTCCCAAGAGGACAGCGATTGCTCACTCCCACACGTGATCTGAGAGTCTGGTCTTGCAGGCTGGGAGGAAACTCAAGCCCCGCCAGCCGTGCTGGCACCAGAATGCTCAGCTGGTCCCCTCCTGGGGCTCATGTGACCAGGGTCCAGCTATAAATATCAGAGGGGCCTCAGACCAAGACAGACTTCAGGAACCAGGAGAAGAAGGCCAAGAGACTCCGGGCAAGTGTTTTGTGACAAAGGCAACAACCTCACGTCTGCTTAGAGCGAAGCAGGTAAAGGAGGCAGCCAGGTGAGCCCCACACCCCCCGACGGTATGGATTACAAATCAGGCCTGATCCAGGATGGGAACCCCCTGGAGAACCTGGAGAAGCAGCTGATCTGCCCCATCTGCCTGGAGATGTTTACCAAGCCCGTGGTCATCTTGCCGTGTCAGCACAACCTCTGCCGGAAGTGTGCCAACGACATCTTCCAGGTCAGTGCCGGGCATGGCCTAGTCCTGGGGGCTCAGGGGGCTCCTCGGCTTTCCCCTGGTGAAAACCCTTCTCTCTTAGCCCAGAACTCTTCTAAACTGGGGCCCGTTTTTCCCTTGCAAAGGCTTCTGGACTAAGCTGAGGGGGGCTGGGTAGTGGCTCTGAGGGCCCAGTTCCTTTTCCATGACGCATGTGTCCCCTCCCCATCCTGTGGCAGCTCCGCCACCTCTGCCCTGAGCACTGCAGTTGACTCTTCAATCAGGAGTCAAATGCCTCAAGTGATAAGTGGGGGAGGCAGGGGGAGAAGAGAGAGAAACCAGACCCCTGGGGCTGGAGCCAGCTCCCTGGTGGCAGGGGGCCCAGAGCTTTAGGAGGAGGGAGGGTGGGAGGCCCTGGCCAGTAGCGACACCTTCCCCTTCAAGGCTATTGCCTCCAGTATAGGGCGGGGTGGGGGGGCTCCATCTCCTAAGAAAGGCAGGAGAGTGGATGTCCTGGCTGGGGGGCAGGACTCAAGGTTCCCCAGAAGCACTTTACAAAATGTTCTCTCACTGTTTTATCTTTAAAGTAGCAGCCCTAGTCGCTGGTTCTAATTATAATGCCCATTTGACGAACGGGCAAACTGAGGCTTGGAGGGCTAAGGTTGCCTGCCTCAAGTCATTCAGAGAATAGCTGTGACTTGAACTCCAGGTCTGTTGATTGCTTGGTGCTTCTCAGGCGCTCCCTGTGTGAGTGAGCTGCCTCTCCACTCAAGACGGGAGGCTCCGTCCGGGTCCTGCGGTTTGACGAGAATGGGTGGGGCTAGCTGGAGGGAGGATAGTAAGAGATCAGAAAGGGCAGGGGCTGAGGGGGGAGCCCAAGCCTCACCTCTGTCCTTGACACCCACAGGCTGCAAACCCCTACTGGACCAATCGAGGCAGCTCGATGTCCATGTCTGGAGGCCGTTTCCGCTGCCCCTCCTGCCGCCACGAGGTGATCATGGACCGTCACGGGGTGTACGGCCTGCAGAGGAACCTGCTGGTGGAGAACATCATCGATATCTATAAGCAGGAGTGCTCCAGGTCAGTGCGCCCGGTCGCGGGGAGCCCGTCCTCCCTGCCCAGCCGTCCTGTGCCTGGCTCTCCCAGGCTCCTTCCTCCCTCATCTGCTTGGGATCCAGTCCCCTAGCTGGATGGGCTCCACCAGCCAGCTTGGAGGGCCATGTCCCTCTTCCTCAGGCAGGAACAGAGGCTCCCTCTGTCCCCCATCCCTGATTCTCTGCGTCACTCAGTGAGTGGGAAGGGGCCCAGACTGCTCTACTGCAAGCTACTGAGATAGGAACTGGAGGAAAGACAAGCTGGGGGAGTTTCAGAGAGGCACTGGGGCCAGCTGAGTGGCCCTGATAAGCTGAGAAAGTGCCCAGTGAGAACAGAGCCAGTTTCTATAGGGAAAGCGACAGCTAAGGGAGGCACACACTGGGAATGCTTCTCCAGCTGCTGCACAGCAGCCCTGTAAGCCAGGCATGACTTACCATCCCATCTCACAGAGAAGGAGGCCAAGGCTCAAAGAGGTGAAGTCAGTTGCCCACGGTTGCTCAGCGGGGAAATGGAAGAGCTGGGAGCGGCCCTGACCGGGAGGCTCCACGTGTCCTCAATTGTAGAAGTGCAGCTCCATCTCAGGCAGAGCTTGGGAGCGGTGGAGGTTGTGCCGTGTTGGGCCTCAAACTGGGGAGAGACACAGCTAGCAGGGAGATCTTTACAAATCAGGACGTCCCGACAAGACTTCCAGGCAGTCCTTCTGGTCCAAAACTGTTCCAGCCTGTAGGCAGTGTCCTGCCCAAGGAAAGGTGACAGACCCATCCTAGCGAGAAAAAGCCCAGGCCTAGGGAACTGTGTTTGCTCATCCGACTCTGTTACTATTGCATTGTAGGGTCCTGGGTAAGTCTTCGAGCCTTCATTTCCCCTGCTTTCAGAGGGGACAGTAAGATTCGTTTTGGGGACTGTGTAGGATTTTAATGGGAAATGTTGAAAAATGTCAAACATTTATTGAGCACCTACTATGCGTACCCACCGTACTATTTCCCACGAGTTACCCCTACTTAATTCTCACAGTGACTCTAAGACATTCTTGCCCTCATTGGACACGAGAAGGCCACTCAGCTTGCAAGTGCTGCAGCTGAGAGGCAGCCTGGCTGGCTGGCTCCGCGACCAACACTCTGCCTGCTGTTGTGTCCCCTTCCGTAGCGCTAGGGCTCGACGCTACGAAATGCAAATATATTTTCGATCATTATAATCCTAATAAAACCAACATTGCATCAGAATATTAGCCTAGCCAGTGGCAACCTATGAAGGCCCTATCGTGTTTGAACCTGCGAGGGCTTCCTGCATGGTTGGAGGACAAAGATAGCCGCCACAGTAGGGGTCTGCCCTGTGCGGGGCACTACACTGCCATTACAGCCAACTCCTGCCACGATCCCAGGGACTCTGGGAGGAAGCCACAGCTCAGGGAAGTGAAAGCTCTTGTCCAAGGTCACAGAATGAATAAATGCAGAACAGTCCGGATTCAAACCCGGATGCGGAAGTCTGGGCTGGGCAGTCGCCTGCCGTGTTAGGGGCTGGGAAGTCAGAGGTGGTATAGACACGGTGTCGACTCTCAACAAGTGTGGAGTCTAGTTAGGGGAGGTGAGACCTAGACCCCTCAAAATGAATCTCGGGTAGGAGGCAACCAGTTTCCTGAGAGAAGCACAGATAACACGTCAGAGCCCCAAGTGGAGAGAGAGACAAAGGGAGGAAGACATTTTAAGAATGAGTGTTTGGGAGGACAGGGAAGGAAGGGTCTAGACCCTGGGAGAACAATCTCTGGACTGGGAGTCAAGGCTTGTGCTGGGCTGCTGGGCAGCCCTGAGAAGCTCGGGCACTAGCTGTGTGGCTCGGGCACTCACACTGCCTCCGCCTCTGAGCGTCGGGGCGCCCTCCATGCTTGCTAATTCGTTCCTTCCATCTGTACTTACTCCCCACCTCCTCGGTGCAGGGCACTGTACGCTGCAGGCTCAGGGCTGAAGGGAGTGGGCAAGCTTCCCTGCTTTGACGGAGGTTACAGTCTGGTGGATTAAATATAGAATCCGATGAGGCCATGATAAACGGCTTCACTTAGAGCCCAGCCTGCAGAACCCGAGAGTTGTGGTGACTATAATTAGAGCAAATGAACTTCAGCCTCCCCTGCCCTGACTGGCTGGGTGACCTTGGGCAAGTCAATTCACCTTTCAGGGGCCCAGTTTCCTCTTCTTGAAAATGTCTCCAGATCTGACTCTGGGATTCTACCACCCTTCCAACGTCCAAGCCAACTCCATCACTAGAGTTCGAGTCCTAGTATGTGGTGACAACCATGGTGTCATTGGCTTCCCTGGCACTGGTTCCCCACAAGATAGGGGGAACCAGCTCCCCTAGCTCAGGATTAGGCTCAGGACATCCAATCACTGAGCACTTGGGTCATGGACCTGGGGGGGAGCTATGACTGGAGTGGGGTGAAGAGACCCCCACCTTGTGACTCATGACTCTTCCACTTCAGTAGGCCCCTGCAGAAGGGCAGACACCCCATGTGCAAGGAGCATGAAGACGAGAAAATCAACATCTACTGCCTCACCTGCGAGATGCCCACGTGCTCCATGTGCAAGGTGTTTGGGGCCCACAAGGCATGCGAGGTGGCCCCGCTGCAGAGTGTCTTCCAGGGACAGAAGGTACTGGCCCGAGCCACGGCCTCTCACAGCCTGTCGGGCACGGCCCGATGATTCAGGATTCAGATTTGATCCTTGCAGACCTGCTGAGCCAGCCTTTCAGTAACGGTCCCTCTGGAGGGACTTCCCAGGCTACAGGGACAACAGTCCTTGCCTTCCTGGGGGAGGTGGCTGAGCTCATGGGTTATACTTAGAGCCACTTGAGAGCACCTGGGTGTGGCCACAGGGGAGAGGCCAGACCCCGGGGCCAGGCCACGGGGGCCTCTCAGGCCACGACTTTTACACCCCACTGTGCTTTGGGCCCCAGGTACCTCTTCCTGTGCCAGTCACCTGTCTCGGGCTCCAAATTCCCCAAACCTGTGGGAGACCCACTATCCTATCCGTGCAGCGACCTGTGGCCCCTCTTTTAATACTCTTTCTCCCCCACCTCCTGCCCTTCTCTTGCTCTCTTTTTTTAATCATTTTAAAAATTAATATTCGAATGCAGTTGTCTCCATTTTCCTACCACCACTTTCCCCCATCCCCCACCATTGATCTTTTCTAGAACCCCCAACTCTTTCCTCTCTTCATCCCTTCTTTCTTAGAAACAAGCCCCTCCTCTACCAGTACCTTGCTGTGTATTTTGGGCAGCTCACCTCCCCTCTCTGTGCTCCACCTGTGAAATAAAGGAAACAATATCTCTCATATTCTCTGCTCTGGACCTCAGCTGGACCTCAGAAAGAGCGTCCCAACAGCTACTGGAGGCTCTTTTTAGCAGAGAGGGGAGTGAGGGTGCCGACGTGCAGCCAATTCCCAAGAGGGCAGGCCCTGAGACTATTTCTGTCTCTCCTCTCCTGATCCCCCACCCCCTCCTCCCATCTAGACTGAACTGAGCAACTGCATCTCCATGCTGGTGGCGGGGAACGACCGCATGCAGACCATCATCACTCAGCTGGAGGACTCCAGTCGTGTGACCAAGGTGAGGGACCCCGGGGGTTTGAAGCCTCCAGCGCAGCCTAACCTGTGGGGTGAAGGCTCACCCATGGGCTGTGACTCAAGGCTGGGGCCTGCAGCCTGGGGTGTTCAAGCAGGGGTGGTGGGGAGGGACTGACTAACCCTCTAATCCACTCATTCAACAAACGTTTTTGGAGCACAGCTGGGTGTCAGGCCCTGCCCGTGGCCCTAGGGATGGGGTGTGAACAAGACAGCCCCCCCCCCCCGCCCCACCAACAATTCCCAGGGTTTTATTTTATTTTATTTTTTAGCATTGGTAGTTTTTAGACCATTGTTCTCTGTGTGCTGTAGACCAAGGCTTCAAACTTTGACATGCACACAAGTCACCGTGGGGTCTTGTTAAAATCCAAGTTCTGATTCAAGAGACCTGGGATGAGGCGTGGAGTTCTGCATTTCTCACAAGTTCTCGGGGTTTGCCCAGGTTGCCGGCCCATGGACCACACTTTGAGCAGCAAGACTGTAGAGGCAGAAGGAAACTTTTCTAATTCTGCCGAAGCACCCATGACTTTTTTTCTTCACTGGGATGGGTCCCTGGAGATGAGACGGGGGCAAGGGACCATCATATTGCTGGTAGACAGAGTGTGTACTAGATCGGTTCAAAGGAAGGAGGGGGACATTGTTACCACCCATGTGGGCTCCCAGGCTGATAGATGATGCTAGAGCCCCCAGTCTGATGAGAGGCTATTATTGTATCCATTTTGCAGATAGGAAACTGAGATGTAGCATCTGGGTTGAAGACCAGGGACCTTCACTGAGGAGGTCACTAGGGGAGGAGCTGCTTCTCCACCTCTTCCAGGACCAAGTGATGCAGAGCTTCTCAAATCCATTCTTGGTCCTAAAATGGGGAGAAGAGTGTGACTTGCAGACACACTGGAGGGCCAGACTGTATTATTTCATTTGACCCCAGAGTCTCTATTTTTGAAGAAGGGGGTTGCTTTCCCCATGACACCAGACTCCAGATGTGTACTGAGTAGCTATGAAAACTTAGCAAGTGCTTTCTTCTTGCTAAACCTTCATTTTATTTTGTGTAAAATGAGGGTGCAGTAAGACCTCTTCCAGCTTTAGATTCTTTGTTCCTAGCCCACCCATTCCAGAAAGGAAGTGTTGGGGATAGGGAGAAACCCACAGGCGTGACTCCAAGATTTCTGTCCCCAGGAGAACAGTCACCAGGCGAAGGAACAGCTGAGCCGGAAGTTCGACATGCTGTACGCCATCCTGGATGAGAAGAAGAGTGAGCTGCTGCAGCAGATCACGCAGGAGCAGGAGGAGAAGCTCAGCTTCATCGAGGCCCTCACGCAGCAGTACCGGGAGCAACTGGACAAGTCCACCAAGCTGGTGGAGACAGCCATCCAGTCCCTGGACGAGCCTGGTGGAGCCATCTTCCTCTTGGTGAGCACGACCAGGAAGGTGTGGGTAGAGTCGATTCCACTCAACAGCTCTGTATAAGGTCCAAATCATGCTCTTTCTCTGACTACCTACGTGCCCTTGGGCAGGTCATTTAAACCTCCCTGAGGCTCATTTTCCTCATCTGTAAAACGGGCATGAAAGAATCCCTACCTACACCTATGAACTGAGCACCTACTCTAGGTCAGCCACAGAGACGCAGGAGACAGCCCTGCCCCAGAAGAGCTTGTTGGGGGAGACAGAAAGGGACCAGCTAAAAGATTCCACAGTGCAGTTCCATAAAAATGTCCTAAGCACCTACTGTAGGTCAGGCTTTGTGCTAGACATTGGATATAAAGAAATGACCAGGATAAGATTGTCATCTCGGAGAGTTCGGGGTTTAAGGTGTTTAGACTGATATCCCTAAAATCCAAGCTCCCTGCCAGGACAATGGAAGGGGCCTAGAATGGTCACCAAGGCCTGTGCAGACCACGGACAGAGGGAGAAGATCCGAGTTCCGTTCAGTTCAGGGTGGGGAGCAGGTCACAGCTGGGCTAGGGAATGGCACCAAGTGCCCATCTGCAGCACCCAGTCACTGGTTTTGCTGATTCCCCGGGGCCACCCCTAATGCAGTACTAACCATTTGCTCTCTCTCCCCCCACAGAGTGCCAAGCAACTCATCAAAAGGTCAGTGTCTCCCCAGGGCTCTGACCCAAGGCCCTAGCTCCTACCAGGGCCTCTGACTTCTGTCCAGTGGGCTTCCTCCTTTACATTAGGGCTGCTGGGAGGGTCTCATCCCGGGCTGGCTTTCCTGGCCTTTGCATCGTCCCGTGCTTTCTCGAACTGGTATTTGCTCGTGACTGGAGAGGAAATACGCCACCGCTCCAGAGAGAGCTTCTAGGTGCAAGGCCTGGGTGTGGGCGCAAGCATGTGCACTGGTGGGAGTTGGCGCTAAAACACCCCTTCCCTACACTAAGTCCCAGATCTCTCTTTCTCCCCCCCCCCCCCCCCGCCGCCACTTTCTTTCCTCCCCACAGCATTGTGGAAGCTTCCAAGGGTTGCCAGCTGGGGAAGACAGAGCAGGGCTTTGAAAACATGGACTACTTCACTTTGGATTTAGAGCACATAGCAGAGACCCTGAGGGCCATCAGCTTTGGGACAGGTAAAGAAGGTGGGGGTGCCCCTTGTCTGTTTCCCTGCCCAACCCCTGGGGATCAGCTTCCCTTCCACTGAGCCCCATGTGGAGACAGACACACTAGCAAAGATGCCCAGATATCAGCCAGCTTCCGGATGAGCCCAGAGCTGAGCACAGTGCCTGGTACATAATTGTTGCTCAGTAAATCATCGCTGCAGGGAGGCACCTTGGGCTGTCAGAAGAGCATTGCATTTGGAGACAGACAGACCTAAGTTTCGATCTGGGACTGCCATGTGTTATCTGTGTGACCCCTGCTGAACCCCTCCACCTCCCTGAGCTTCAGTTTGCTAACTAAAACTTAGGTTGAAAGTGGGCCTGCTCATGGTGACTACCTCACGGTGCTGCTGCAACAACTAAGATATTGACACAGAAGAGTTTGTGGGACACCAGACATGTGCTAGTTAGTGCTAAAGCTAGTTTTGGCTTTAGCTTTTTCATCCTATCCTCTATGATCCTCAGGGACCCTACTTTATCTGCACCATATCCTCATATCTGTTTATAGTTACCCTTCCACAGGGTACCTACGATAATTGTCACATGTAACCATAACAGTAATAAGAGGAAAATAATAAGAGAAAATGAAGAAACCCCATGAAGAACAAAGATATAAACAGTTTGCTCAAGGCCGCGGTTGAAAGGCAGCTATTCCGCAATGAAAAGGAGACAATGGGTCCAGTCTTGCCAAACCGGTGTTGCCCTGAGAGGCAATGCTTCCATGAACAGGACAGAGAGAGGCGGGCGTGCAGGAGGAGGAAAGACTGGTGCCGTGGCCGACAGGAGGAAGCTCAGCTCGCCTGCCAGCTTGCAGAATGTGGTGTCACATCTATTCTCAGAGCACCAGATAGACCCCACTTGTGGGTGAGGACAAAACGCATTCCGAAGCTGAGATGCTGTCAGACGTGGGTGTGGCCGTCACTGTAGATCACCTGTTCCAGGGTCACCCTCCTGAAACGAAAATATTCCAGAGTGGGTCGTACTGTGTGGACAGTGTGGCATTGTGAAGACCTGTGCTGCCTTTCATAATGTCCCTCAGCCTTAGTTTTCCTCGTAGGAAACTGGGGAGAGAACTATGCCAACAGCTACAGTACAATTTATTAAGCACTTTCTACATCCCAGACACTAAGCCCTTGACATAAATTCTATCACTTAATACAACTTCATGAGGTGATTTCTGTTGTCATCTCCATTTTGTAGTTGAGAAAGTAGAGCCCAGGGACAATGAGAGGTTTCCTGGAGGCCACACAGCTAGTAGCAACCCATGTGGATGTCACCAAGGGCCGTCGGGCTCATAGATCCTTGGTGAGGGTTACATGAGACAGCTCATGTGCAGCGCTGCGCACAGCACTTGGCATGAGTAGTTAACGTAACAACGAGGAAACAAGAGCAGCAAAACTCCCTGGGTTACGCGTAGACTCCTGGGAGGTGGCTGGAATTTTGGCTGTCGTTTTGGAGGCATTCACTCTTTCAAGCCTCTTCCTAGACACTCTAGACAATGCTCTGACTCTGTGGTAACCCCTTAAGGCCCCAAAGGAATGAGGAAGCAGCTTTGGAGAGGGGTGGACAATAGGCATATTCCTTGTTAGCACAGCTTGAAGGTGGTTTCTCAGCACGGGAAAGTGAGGACACAGGCTGCAACCCACTCACAGTCTGTCTGGGGCTCAGCTGCAGAGAACCAAGGAGCAGGTGCCCCAGAAGTGCTCCCAACCCCTATCCACCCCTCTGTAGGCTGAGCAATCAGGAAAAGTGGACAGGGAGTGCTAGGCAAGCAGATTTCAAAGGCTGGGCAAATTCCTTCAAGACAAGGACTCTGATCACTGAAAATCAAGGTATTCTTGTCCCATCTCTGCAGGTGATATTATTCTGTCTAACTGAGAAGTATGCAGAAGTACAGTGTGCCTAGCAAAGTCCCCTCTGGTCACAGGCAGATCAGGTGATAGAGCCTGCTGTGGCTCCTGGAACAAAGGAGCCCCCTGAACCTCCCTCCCCGGGAGTGTGCAGGCAGAGGGCGGAGGAAGGAAGCCCACCCACGTGCAGCTTGGCTTTGGCAAGCCCATCACCTCCTGGGCCACTACAGTCATTGTATGGATGGTTGACTCCGACTAGGCGTCGGAGGGGTTGGGACCAGTGCTGTCCCCAGCCTGGTGCGAGCAACACCTCTGAGAAACCAGCCTATCCTAACCCTGGTGTTCTCTGTCACACTCAGATGAGGAAGAGGAAGAGTACATTGAAGAAGAAGATCAGGAAGAGGAAGGATCCACAGAGGGAAAGGAAGAAGGTAAGAAATCCACCTACTTCCATCCATCCATTCATTCATTCTCATTCATCCAGTCAGTCAGTCAGTCAGTCAGTCAGTCAGTCAAAAACATGCAATGCTGACTGGGTGCAAAGCGCCGCGCTGGACATTGGGGTGATGCCACTGGGTGCTGATGACCATAATTGTGTCAACCTTTTATAGATAATGTCCTGCTCCCTTTGCTCTTCGAGGAAAAAACCCCAAACCATGCACAGCAAGGAGCTCCCATTTTTATGTCAAAATGACCTATGTCTATATGGAAATTGACGCAGCATAACATGTAAACGAGCCGAGAGCCTCAAGAGCCAAGCTCGGTCCACTGAGCTGTTTTGTTTGGCCAGCACAATGCTTAATCTTTTCCAAATCTGTTGGCAGCATTTTAAAATTTAGGAGGTTTTTTTAAGGGATTTTTTAAAAGGAGATTTCAACTAAGAATCTGGATTTCCACCTTCTTGTAAAAGGTTGAAAGAGTTGGTGACGTTGGGCTCGCCCTTCTGCCTCCTCCCGGAGAGTGGGCGCTGGGCTGGTTTCTCCTCTGGGGGGGCTGCACGAGCCAGTTTGGCAGGCCCGCCACTGTGTCGGCCTTGCTGCTCTCCTCACTCGTGTCGTCAGCTGGCCCCGTCAGGCATCCGAGGGAGCCAACCCGGCAGACTGTGTCACGGCTTTATCACGGACCGGCGGTGTGACCTTGGGCAGTTCACATTCTGAGTCTCGCGCTACTCCTCAGTCCATGGGGGCGTGACCGTATTGCCGACTGCAAAGAGTATACTGAGAGCGTGCAGCGTCTGGTGCATGGAAAGGATGTGCTTGCTAATTAGCATATGTTTGCTAATATTACTTTAAAAGCCAAGTTATTATTGAAACTAAATTCCAGTCCAGTTGAGAAATAGAAAGTAGTCTTTTGGAGTTTTGTACTGGATGTGCAATCCCATTTTGTCTGGGCAACTAAATTCGATTTTGGTTTAAAAAGGAAGAGGCCAGGCAGGAATTGGAGTTTAATCACCAGTCACTTCAGCTTGGTGAGCCCTGGACCCCCTTGAGTGCCTGTCTCACTTTGCGTTTCTTTGTCTTTTTCTTTCAGGACACCAGTAAGGAGCTGGCTGAGGAAGAGACCCTCTAGATGCAGAGAGACTGGGGAGGGTGGGGATGGGCCCAGCTGCCTTGGTGCCAGGCCCAGAGTGGGAGGGGTCGGGGCCCCTGGAGGGGCGAAGGGAGGTGTGTCTTCTCTCTGCTCAGAGAGCGAGGACTAGGAGCGGCCCCCACCGCTGTGCCCCGCGCAGTCACTGAAGCAGAACTGGGAGCGTGCTTGAAACAACCACAGAGGACACTTTTCTACACTGGTGCAAAATAGAGTATTTTGTACATTTTTAAAATGTGATTTTTGTATATACTTGTATATGTATGCCAATTTGGTGCTTTTTGTAAAGGGACTTTTGTATGATAACGCCTGGTCATCGTGTGACTGGCGGCTGTTAGGCGGGGGAAGGAAGCCAGGGTGGCCCCTCGCCCGCGTCCTTTCCCTGGCCGGGAGGGCTGGGCAGCACTCGCGCACCTGGGAGGGGTGACGTGTGGTGCTCCAGTGCCTGTCCCTGACAAAGGGGGTGGAGACTGTTTGTGTTACCCGTTGTTCTAATAAATGCACAGCGCTCTCTTCCTGTTACTACCAAAGGAGTTGGGCTTTCTATTAGGGTGGTCCGTGACGCGGCTGTGAAAAATTCACAGAGAGAAGAAAGTGTAGAGAATAAAGTTTTTACTCACTCTCCAAGAAAGGGGAGGGACGTGGTGTGGAGAGGTACACCAGCACTGAGGGGTGGGGGCTCTGGGTTTTTATTGGGTAATAATTGGATTCTAAAAGGGTGGAGGGGGTGCTGTTTGGGCATTGTAACGGGGGGCTGCAGTTTATTTTCATGTTATCTTCCACCTGTGACTGGGGAGTGGTCAGTTCTGTTTTTGCTTTCCAGTGATTCCCAGTCCTGGGGACAAGCTCGGAAGAGTAAAGTGGCAGCCGTGTCTAACGAGGTCACAGGCCTGCTCGGCAAATGGTGCCCCGATAGCAAATGTCTCTAGCTTTGTCCTGTTTCATTCAGCTTTCTTTTCTGGAGAGTTCAGAGAGGAGGGACAGGCGCCTGACAGAAAGACGTCTTCAGGAGGGAGATAGCAATGGCAAGGCTGGGCTTCTGTCCCACCAAACAAGAGTTCTTTACATCAGTGTTTCCTTATGAGAGCTCCATGTAAAACTCCCTGAGATGATCCTTGAGAAACAGGTTTAACGCCGCCCAGCTCTCTGGCTCTCTGGAAAACAGAACCCGAGGCAGCGCTTCAGTGTGTTAGTCTGGCTAAATCCCAGGGCAGCCCAGGTGAGGGGAAATGGAAGCAAGGCAGGAGAGGAGAGAACCAAATAGAAAGTGTCGAGTTACTGAGCCTGCCGCAGCTTCACCAGAGACCCAGCTGTTTGCTCAGTCCTGTGCAATGTTCTAAGCGGGTCATAAAGAACATAACTGGACTCAAAGCACTTCCTCAGAGGGAGAGGTTTTTGTCTGCCGGATCCTTTCACTTCCTGTCTCAGGACTGAAGTTTGTCTCCCAGGCTGTTAATTGCTGTACACTTCCAGGTTGCATCGCTTGGCCCCTCTAGGCAGCTGCTAAGGGGAGCTAAGCTAGATGGGACACCATCCGTTGACTCTGTGAGTAGTGGGTGGAGGAGAACCTCCGTGGTCCAGTGGGTTGGGCATGGGTGCTGGCGCTGCACAGCGGAGGCCCTGCTGGAGTCCACATGTACCCCAGGGAAGGCCAAGGCAGCCACCAGTGCTAGGGGATGAGGCAATGACCAAGGCGATAGTTATTAGCACCAAGGCTTTCCAAGAACAAGAGGTCTAGGGGCTGGGAGAGAGATGAAGCTGAATTGGGCACAGTGCACTCACTAACTGGGTCTAAGAACCTTGGACTTATAAATCTGATGAACACTGAAGACACTGTCTCACCTTTTCGACATTTGAGTAGCAAGTGAGTAGTCCCTCTATAAAGAAAACTATTTGACTTTAGACCATGACTGGCCAATCACATTTATGGTATTTGGAACACTGCCTGATCTTGAAGGCTCTTTGGTGGATTGAATATTTAACCCAACACTTTCCAGTTTATTCATTTATGTGACATCCTCTGGAGCACAGGTGGCAGACACAAGGCCCTGCCGGCTGAATCCCGCCCTCCACCTCGTTTTATCTGGCCCAGCACCTTGTTTCTGCCCGGTGGCAGCACTGAGCTCTCGCTTAACTGTTAAGGAATAGTTACATTTATACAGTCCTAAAATTACATTTGGCCCTTTGAAGGCAACCTCGAGGCTGATGTGGTCCCCGGTGAAAATAAGTTTGAGGCCCCTGCTCTAGAACTAATGTTCTGTGTAACTCACTTTTTAAAAATTGATTTGAGAGAGAGAGAAACATTGATTTGTTGTTCCACTTATTTATGTATTCCTTGGTTGCTTCTGGTATGTGCCCTAACCGGAAATGAAGCCTGCAACCTTGGCGTATCAGGACGTCGCTCTAATCAACTGACCCGCCCAGCCAAGGCTTGAGGCTCACTTTAGGAAAGTGCTTTGTGGACAAAAATGGGGCCACACACGCAACCTTACAAACTCAGAGGGGGCCTGCATGGCCGGCCTTACAACCTCAGAGATACAAAGTAACCACACAGGATGGTCTGAAATTAAAACTTCTTAACCAAAATTCATGGCAGGTAGTCACATCCTTCTGGTATCTTCCTTGACAAAGTTCAATCTTTACCTTAACGGAGACTGCCTATAGTTTTTTTTGTGTGTCTAACATGTATCTTTGGAATGTCTGAGTAATCCCTTTTTCCAGACCTCTCAGGGCACAATGATAGCAGGTTAATTGTTAACCAACTTGTACCCACCAACGTAGAAGAAGCATTTTTCTCCTCTGTTAGTCTTTATCCAATCCCAGGGACTTCCCCGCTTGACTTTCTCTCGCCTCCCTAAGCTGTCACCAATGAATTCCACATCACCCTCTTTGTGCCTCCTCCTTTCTTTGCACTGTATAAAGTGGGGCGCAAAATTGCAATTCTCTAGAGCATTTTCTCAATCTGTTGAGATTTTCCTTCCTGGCAATGGTAGTCAGTTTGGCTCAAATAAAGTCATAAAAATTCTTCTAGATGTGGACATTAACACTTTACATTTTTAAAAGATTTTACTGACCTACTTTTAGAGAGAAGAGAAGGGAGAAAGAGAAGGAGAGAAACATTGCAACTCAGGCATGCGCCCTGACTGGGAATCAAACCTGCGACCATGCACTTTGCAGGACAGTGCCCAGCCAGCGGAGCCACGCCCGTCAGGGCTGTGATGACCCTGAAACCCTCACATCTTGACTCACATTTGGGAGTTTTTCCAAGGCTAACTTAGCTCAGTCCCTAAGTTTGAATGTCAAGGAATCAGATTTTGCTCTCATTTCTGGTCCTTTCTCAAGTTCTGAAGCATTTTTAGTAACTTCTTTAAAAATCGTGATACATTACAGACACACAAGCGCACAAACTAGTTACTGTTGTAGAATGAAATCCAGTGTTGCCACCATGCAGGTCAAGGAAAGAACACTGCCAGCTCCCAGAAGCCCTCCGGGTACCCCCTTCCCCTCATCACTTCTTCGGCTTAGAGATAGCTACTATCGTTTCTTTCCTTTTTTAACAATCACATACTTGCTTTACTTTACAGTTTTATTTTCTGAAGTATCTTGCAATAGAAGACCTAAGGAATTTGAGGCCAGAAAGTGAGAGGCGGAACACCATGCAAGGCACCTCTTGGGACTCCTGCGAGCTGCTGGGGTCAGAGGAGAAGGGACAGTGGTGACAGAGTCGCTCGGAGCAGATGGAGACCCGCGCTGAAGTACACCGGCCGACGGCAGGGGATGGAGATGACGCCGGCCACTCCGAGTTCTAATTGGAGCGCGCCCGCAAGGAACCAGCGCTGCTGCAGTGGCGAGGATGGGTCTGTTTCGGTCCCAACCAGTCCGAAAGAGGGCCACCGCCCCAGCTGGAGGGGGGAGGCACCCCCGCCCCCTAACACCCTCCCCCCCACCTCCAGGACCACCCTACCTAGCCTGAGCGGAACACAGCCATCTGCTAGTGGCTGCCCCCTGAGGGTGGAAACCTACCAAACTCTCAGTCTCCAGCCCCAGGGAAGCCACAACTTCCCCAGGGAAGGAGCCTGAGGAGCCACTTGCCTGCTCTCCGGGGATCCAAGGTGAATTCCTACAAACCAAGATCCGAGAACTTCTCTGTGGGACGCTGCCAGCCCCATGCGAGGAACAGAGCGGAACAGCGCTCGCAGCCGTCGCCCACTCCTAACTTAGTAGAGGCACTCCTCGCCAGCCAGGTGGGCTCCCCGGGCCCCGCGGACACGGCGGATGGATGCTCTGGGGTATCTCCCGGGCATCCTTTGCAGCCGGCCACCCCTCCCCCTTCCCCCGCGGGCTTTTGCACACGACGCGTGGCAGGCCGCTTCACACGGGGTGGCAAGGGCCGGATAAAGCGCTCGGCGCGCGGAGTCGAGGCTGGAACAGCGCAGCAGCGGGACGGTCCCACCGCGGCCCCAGCGCAGCCCGGTCAGGGGCGGCGGCACGACAGCGCTGGTGTGCGAGGGGCGAGCGCGGGGGAGACCGGAGAGGGACGCAGGGCTTTCCCAGAAGGTGAGACGCTTCCTTGCCACGAGCGTCTGGCGCGCAGCTTCCAAGGTTCACTCCGCTGGGCAGCCGCGCGTGGCTTCCCGACCCAGAGCGGGGCACGCGGGGCCGCATGAAGGCCACGGATAAGCAGCATCTGCTGGACGCCAGGCCCGGAGCCCGGTAAGGCGAGAGCCTGGGGAGGGATGGGAATTTGAACGGCAGCGTTTGCTCTCCTGGGATGGTTTGGGTGGCGGCTAGACGCAGGACCACACAGGAGGGGTGGGGTAAGGGGAAGGAGAGGGGAAATCCAGAGCGGACTCGGGATCATCCCTCCCTCGAGGCTGCTCACAGTCCGCTGGTCGGGAGTGCAACGCCTAGAGCTCCGCCCACGGCCGGGAACTTTGCCCCCGGCAGCCTCACCCCGGGAGGCCCTCTGTCCCCAGGTGCACCAGATAAGTGTTTGCCCTTCCGCAGGGGCTCTAGTCCGTCTCTAGGCTCCCGAGCACCGGTCCCGCCCCTTGGCCAGTTCCCAAGGTCTTTGCCTCCTTCAGGCCCTGGGAGGGATGGGGGAGGAGTGAACTTCCCGCGCCAGGGCCCTTAGACTCCCCGAGCCTGGTCAGTCCGCCAGCACCCACCTGGAACATGGGCTTCTGGTCACTCCTTAGGGACTGTCCAGCTTCGAGTGTCTTTAGCTATTCTCCTAATTGTACACGTGGGGATGCCAAGGCCCCGCTGAGAGATAGGCCTGGAGTCAGCCCCCCTCTTCCCCACCTCAGAGCGGAGTCTCCTCTTTCCCGTCCTCTCCCGCCAGGTCTTACACGGGGCCTCCGTGGCAGGATGGCGCTGCCTGGGTTTCTGTGTCCCCACCCGACCCCAAGTTGCCATCCATCGAGCTGGCCGCCGAAAGCAACCATTACTGTCACGCCGGGAAGGGTCCTGGCAGTCACTGTGACCCCAAGAAGGAGCGGGCCTGCCGCCAGCTCTATGTG